TGATGAAAATAATACACTTTTTATTTAGATTTTAGTTATTCCACTATAAAGAACTAAATTGCTTGATGAAAATAAAAGAATACCTGAAGTGGCTATTTATAGTGGAATAGCCTATCTAAACTTACTTGAAGTGCAAATAAAATAAATAACAAATAAAGAAATATTCTAATCTTAGATTTGCTTGGAGTACAAGTAAAGTAAAAGATAATAAGGATCACTTATGGAAATAATCTCCCTTTTCACTTGTTCAGCAAGTCTTAACCCATATTCAATACCTCAAGTGATGTGGACCTCATGCAACCCATGTACGGCTCCTCTATGTGGCCTCTGTGTGTGCAGCTAGCAGGTGCGCGACGTCTGTGCACACTCACAAGTGTGTGATGCCTGATTACGTAGCTTGTGAGTGCACACCTTGTGCGCGTAAAGTGTACGAGCATGTTGGGTGATTTCCCTTTCATGTAGACCTAAGTTTGCTATGCTAGGGCACACAACATGTGTGCAACTTTAAAGCCCACAGCCTACCTACGCGCACGATATGTGCAAGTGACCCTTACGTGCATAGGCCTTATGCGTCAGGTGTAAGACAAGCCACCCTTGCGTGCAAGTGATACGATATGTGCTAGTCCATTTAGGCCTTTTTTTAATACCCCAACCTACCCCACTTTTAGTAAAAAATGGGTCAAGCCTATTTTGACAAGTTTATGTGACACAAGTACCCAATTACCCGAATTCGTATCTGTATAAGACAATAATTATGTTTCACAATTCACATCCATACAATTCACTAATAATTAAACTTTACAAAAACAACTATAAATTAAAATTTAAACAAGTTATTTTAAAAATATCTCAAACAACTTAAATAATTAAAAATGGACAAAACATCCTAAAGAAATAAAATTGTGTGTTTTCTCCACATGACTTTTGAAATTGCTTATTCCTGCTTTTAAGTAATTATTAAGAAATGTAGGTATAGATCTCCCATTAGTTCAAATCCTTGAGTATGCTTTGCATTTGCCATCATTGATGGACCTTGTGCATCAGAAAGAGATTTGGTCTCAGAGACGTCCAAGAATCAATATTGATAGGGTTGAGTAGGGAAGATGAATCATTCTAATCTTTGAAGATATCCTTACAATTAAAAGGCTCGTGCCACCTAGAAGGCTAAGAGAGATGTTTTTTGTGGCCAGAGCATACTTGTTGGGATTTTCTTTTTTGATCCAATCTATTCTCTTATCTTGCTCCATCTCTTTTTCTATTGGTATTAAAGCCATACTCCTAGATTTATGCTTACATTATCTTGACACGACTTAGGAAGGAAGGATCCCTTCAATCATGGCCTCTTATACAATAAACCAACTGTTTTAATAGTGCTTTTATTTCTTTAGATTCATGCCCCTCTATAAGATCTACATCTAACTTAGACTTTTTGTATGAAGTAGATTACATTCTAGAAGAAGAAAAAACTCAATCTTCTTGGCTACCCCTTGCCAATCCCTAATCCGCTTATACAAAGCCATCCTTTTCTCCTGTCCAGCCCATACAAGTCCTCATAAAACACTCCACAAAAGCACTTAAGGAAAACATCCAGTCCATTGAAACCCATTTCACTAAAAAGGCAGACGAAACAATAGAGATCAAGTTCGATCACTTCCACTTAAAAGAACCCTCTACACCACCAGTTTTTTGCACAATGTTCATGCTTAAACTAGCAAAAGATGAACTTGGTCCAGAACAAGCACTAATTCAAAGTTTTGACCATAAAGGAAAACCTATCTTCCACTTCACAAATCCATTCATAGGACATTGTCTATGAAACATTAATTGTAATTGTGAAGGATGTTTAAAAGAAAGTTTGGAAGCAAACTACGAACTTAACCATGATTATAAGTCAACTAAGAAGTCAAGAAAGAAATGCTCTAGCAAAGAGATGTACAAAAGATATCAAGATAGAAATCTTTCAATAGGACTTTGGGAGAAGATGGATGAAGATACTAGTATCTAGTCAAATATTCTCCTCTAGAATAGGCAAGACCAAAGCCAAAGATACCAAAGCCCTCATGTTAGAAGTAGCGACCTCAAAATCCCTTAAAGCCTAATTTACCTTTCTACAAAAGAATTCAAAAGTGGGTTCAGAAACAAAGTTGCTCTTAAACTTATCAACAAATCCAAAGACCCCTACAAATTCCCTAAGTTTGTGTCAGGAATTTTGAGAATTTGGTGCCTTGGAAAGCAAGTATATTCTCATGTTTAATTTTATTAAATTTGTAATGAAAGTACATTTTGATAATAATACGAAATGTTTGTTTTAAGTAAGCATTCATTATCTAGTTATTAAGATACCATGATTCTATTGAGATATTAAAATACATTTGTATGAAATGTCATACATAGAGACATGTATTTTAATTGAATCTAAAAGTTGTTCATAGTTATATAATAAAGTTAGTCACTTTATTGTCTTAAGGTTGTAGTACCTAGATTACTTCCAATGAAATGAATGTGATTCACTTCAAGGGAATAATGAGTCTTAAATCATTGAAATGATTTGACTTCAAGTATGACACTATCACATGAATCAGAATCACGTGAGAATCAAATTTAAGTTTAACTGTTACTTAAATCTTGATCTAACATTTATGCATTTGTTTATAGCATGACCGAAATCTTAATGGATAGTGGACTCGTGCTTAATCTTCTTATAATCTTTGATTTACCATGAGCATGATCATCATAAAGCATTGATCTAGACTCCGTATTTTACGATTATAATCAAAATGAACATCTGAGAACATATATCCAAATAATAGAGTTCATAGCATTTACATCACTTCTAGTGATTTCAAGAATATTAATGATTAATCTGTGCCTAGTGGATTGATGAATTAGCTACTCATCACATTTAGATACATAAAAGATTAGATCTAGAGTATTGAATCATTAATTGGATGAAATTTGAGACTAAAGGACATTTGACATAAAGGGTAAAATGATAATTTCACCTTTTGTAATTGGATGATTATAAGGGTTCATAATATAAGGTTTGCAATTGGACAAATAATAATTAATATCAAGTATTGTATTGTTTCTTGTAATTATAGTTAATCCAAAAGTGCAACCATGAATATATGGTGGAGTGATTTCATAATTAATAAGTTTGAATTATTTTTAATGTAATTAAGAATAATTCTAAGTTTATTGGAGCGTGGAATATCTATGTTCAAATAAATTCCCTACTTAACTCCATAGAATTCAACTTGTTTAGGTTGGAATGCATGTTTTAATTTGATTAATTAAATTGTGTACAAAAATAGTAATTTTAACATATTTGTCTTAATTTAAACAAAAAAATATGTATGGTCTTAATTTAGACAAGAAAAATATTTTATCTTAATCTAGACAAGAAAACATATTTGTCTCGATTTACAAGATAAAATTTTTGTTTTAATTAAAGACAAGAGTTATCTTAAATTTAAATAATGTTATGAAGATTCTTGCAAAATGAGTCTAGGCATCCATGTTAATAAAATGAGACTTCATATTTGACAATCACTCTTTTTTTTATTATTAATTCTTTTTAAATAAAGATGGACAATAATAAAATTAAAGTTATTATTCAATAAAGAGTTTTATTTTATCAAGAACTTTAAATGATAATTAAAAAATTAAATTATTTATCTTTTAATTTTAATTTTAATAATTATAAAACATGTTTGATGCTTCCATAACTTTAAATAGATGGTTAAGATCGATTTAAAGGTGTCTGATTTTGATTAAACCTTTGAAGTAAGAGTTTTAATAAAAAAAAAGATATTGAAAAAACAATATACATACTTTTTCTCGAAAAAGTTTCAACTATCATTTCTCTCTTCCTCCTCCAAAACTTTGTTGTATCTTTCTCACTCTCTTCCATTCTTGGCTAAATTTTTTGAAAGAAAAGTAACTATTAATTTTTGAAGAAAAGAGAGATAAAATTAGTTATTATCTTGTAATCTAACATTCTATACATTGTCCACTCAAAGTTCAAGTTAAAAGCGTTTTTGAAGAATAAATGAAAATTTGTTTGATCAAGAAATCATTTATTAATGTGCCAATATCCAAAAATAAAAATTTCAAAATAAAAAATATTTTTTTTCTTAATAAATTATTATTATTTTTAAAATATGATTAAGTTACTTGCAATAAGAATGGTGTTTATTTTCGCCTATGTAATTGGATTTCTTGATTCCTTTATAAAAGAAATTTTTTAAAATCCGTATTTTACATAATCACATCAATCCACTAAAATCCTATTCCAACAATTTGCATGTTCCAACCTTTATATCTTTTTTAAGGTCATGAATTACCTCCACTAGAGGAATTCACTGAAAAAGAATTCAACATGCACCCAAAATTCCAACTCCGCTTCAAGCAGACGTTATGGGGAGAGGCCAACCAAAATTAGCATAACAGAAGCTACACTAAATTGGCACAAAATTCCTTATTAAATCCAAAATAAGATCAAAAGCATGAAAGATAAAGTCCACGAAAATACCACGGTCGCTAATGATATAATTAAACTTCTCCAAAACAAACTTAAACAAGTCTCCAAAGATTCTAGAGCAACGCATTCCGTTCTAGCAGTGTCTGGAGCAAAAAGTAGAGACTCAGAAGCTTAAGGTTGAAGTTAAACAACTCCAAGAAACCAAATGGATTCTATCCCCAGGTAAGAACAATCGATTCCAACTTATTACTCAAACCTCATCAATCTCAGAAGAACCACCTGGATCACACATTGAATTTCCACCCCCATCCAAAGGAGTCACTCTCTTCAACTTCTACAAAAATCTCAAAGCTTAAAAAGAAGAAATGAAAAGAAAAGAAACAGAAAAATTCTCTAAAAAATTATCCATCCATAATCAAGTATCCAAATTATCCATCCATTGTTGAGAGGTACTTCTAAAACATTTTCTGTAATTTCTATTTTAAGTCTAATAAGTAGCTGAAACGTGCAACCTTAATAGAGAATTAAATTGTTGAAGATGTTAAATTCCATTGTAAAACGACATAAAATTGAAACATATTCCTCAAATATAATCAAGCATGTTTTGCCACACCACCAGCCGCCCAAGTCCCTCCTAATAATTGTCAATTCAAATAAAACAAATGTACAAACTAGTCAGTAATTTTGGACCATAAGCCCCACATGCAAAACTTGCATCTTTATGCACTGTATCCTTTTGACAGCATTCATGGGGTTAACAATTTTACAAACTCCTAGTGTTCAGTTGCATTGGTGTATGATTACTTAACCTGAAACTACTAGCTACCAACAGAAATAAGTGGGGGACAAAATGGAAGAAAATACTACTTCAAAGCGATGTTACCAATGCCACAGAAGTCCAGGAGGCAAGCAAATTGGTCGATATCTGTGAGATGAAACAGCTTCTGGGCTACAATGCTGGCAATTTTTGTGTTCAATTAGTGGGCCTGTGCTTCAAGAAGAATGTTTGTGGCAGCATTGACGTCATTTCTGGCATGCACAAGTGCCTGCCTGGCTGAGTTCCGATCAAACCCCATTGACACCAGGGTAGCAATGGAGTCCTCTGGCGGCTCTATGGCAGAAGGTGCAGCAGTAGACGGATAGGTTCTCTGAAGCGAAAAGGATTAATGTGTTAATTTACAGAGAGTAAAATATCCAGGCAGAACTCAAACTGCATCAAAGAATCGATGTAATCCACAGCAAACCTTCACATGTATCAGTTTCGAGAGAACGAAAATTCTTTATATCCAGTGTTCAATCAGGCTAACAGTTTACCAGAAATGTAAATTCAAAAATATTTTCAGCTAAATACAGGAAAAGGCCCACTGCACCAAAAGTCAAAAACATTGACTCCACCTAAAAACTGTTCCGTTTCCTCTTTCCAATAATTGAATTTGAGAGCTGTTAACTGGCTAGGAGCTTTTTATGAAGCAAGCTATTAGTAACCGTATTATAAATTGTCATTTTAGACTCATTAGGCAGCTGTATTGTGTTGAATTATTCTGTCTGAGGTTTTAGAACCCTAAACCCTAGTCATTTTGTTCCAACTTCGATTTTACATCAATTTTAGCCTTTTTTTCTAGTTTTCTTTCACTGTTTTGGTTTTCTTTTCATTGACTTCTTATTATCTTGCTGGGTTGAATCATTTTGTTAGAGATAAGATGGGAGAAATTCGTTTAAAGATGCTCAACATTATGCTTTAATGGCAGAAAAGAAGATGACACACTACAATGCAAGAAGGCAGGTGTATGGTCAGAGTGGTATTACTTTGCAGAGTAATAATAGCACTTTTCAAGGATTTCGGAACCATTAAACCTCTCAGGAAGGCAAGTTGGGAGAGTAACAAAATGGAATAATGCAGCAACTAATGGAGAGCATAATAGTTCTTGTTTTGGTACTTCTAAGGCAGGTAACAAGTCCCAAATTCAATGTTTTAGTTGTGAAAGAGGAGATACCTTGTCCACAAGAAGGGTGAATCTTGCAGAATGTGAAGAAGGCTTAGAAGAAGTCGACCTTGCACCCTTTAAAGGAGGAAGCTAAACAAAAGCTGGTCGTTCTTTGGGCAGTAAGGTAAATGCAATTTTATCCTTAGAGGAGTTTGAAGCTCAGAGTACAGAAAGTGGAGATGACCAGAAGGGTGAATTACCAAAGCATCCCTTTGAAGTGCAGCATTTGTTAGACGGGTTTAAGGAGTTGGTCAGTGAGGAATTGCCATCAGTTTTACCACCAATTAGGCGTGTTCAACATGCTATTGGGTCGGTTCCTGGGGCTTCATTACCAAATGTACCAGCTTATAGAATGCCTCTGCTGCAATGGGCTAAGATGCAAAAACACATTGAGGGAGATGCTTGCTAAGGGTTTTGTTCAGCAAAGCAAAAGTCCTTGCGCTTGTCTGACCTTACTAGCTCCTAAGAAGGAGGGTTCATGGAGGATGTGTGTGGACATCCGTGCCACCAACAAAATTACAGTCAAGTATCAGTTTCTTATTCCTTGGTCAGAATATATGCTTCATCAGTTGGCCGTTCTCTATTTAAAAAGTGGCTATCACCAAATTAGACTAAGGAGTGGTGATGAGTGTGAATCAGCCTTCAAGATGCCCAATGGACTCTATGAATGGTTACCGATGCCATTTGGTCTTTCTAATGCTCTAAGCGTAATCGTGCCAGTTATGACGGAGGTACTCAAACCTTTCTTTAACTTATTTGGGGTGGTTTATGTTGTTGACATCTTAATTAATTGTAAATCTAAGAAAGAACACTTGACTTCCCTAAGACAAGTTTTAGAAACTCTTCTTAGAGAGAAACTCTGTATACATTTGAAGTGCTCTCTTGTGCCATGAGGTTGTGTTTTTGAGTTTTATTGTTGACCAAATCCGAAGAAAGTGTGTGCCATTAGGGAATGGCCAACACCTAAATCAATCAAGGAGATTCAAAGGTTTCATGGGTTAATCTCATTTTACAGGAGATTCATATGGAGTTTCAGTTCCAATATAAGTTTGAGTGGTCAAATTCTACACAGAGAGCATTTGAACAGATAAAGGTTTTGATGACAGAGGCACCGTTTCTGGAACTACCAGATTTTGAGATGTTGTTTGTTGTGGAGTGTGATGCTTCACATGTTGGAATTGGGGTAGTTCTCAATCAAAGATGGAAGGCCAGTGGAGATTTTTAGTGAGAATTGTCAAATATAGATGAAAAAATGATCAAGTCCGAAAACCCTCCTGAGCTGACCTGAGACCATTTGATCCAAATTGACTAAAAACAGTCAAGCACCCAAAACCAATAGAACTCAAACCCAAGGCAACCCAAACCCAAAACATCCTGAACCCGAAGTGACCTGAACCCACAACCACCCGAAATCCAAGACCAATCTGATCCAAAACATGTAAAAACCTTAATTTGTAATCTGAAAAGACCCTGATTGTGATTAAATGATTTTTTTAAAATGAGTAAATAAATAAATGATACACTTTTTTTCTTAAATATAATTTTAAATTTTAAAAAATATATTATTTATAATTATTATACAATTTTATTCTCCATTTAATGGAAAAAATGCAAAAATGGCTAGATGTTACGATTTATATCAATTAGTTTTAAATATCAAATTTTGGGTTTCTTATAATTTCTAAGTATTAATATTACCTATTGAATTATATATTTTAATTAAGTTAGTATTCTTTATGAGAGATTATTTGTACTCTTTTAAATAATATCCACCATTCACACCAATTGGACATTTGTCTAGATGATTCTATCTAGGGTTAGTATTTTTAATTTATGTCCAAATCAAAAATGATAATTAGATATAAGAAGAAATTTTTGAAAAGTTGAAATATATTCAAAAGTTATAATGACTAGAAAGATAAAAATAAAAGCACACAAAATATTGATAGTGAGTGTATACTACAGATAAAACAAAAGTATCATTTACGTTTATATCAATTTTTTTAAATTTCAAATTTTCTTTTAACATTTTTATCTTAAATTTGCTAAATTAATCAATGATATTGACTTGACATCTATTACAGAAAAAATTAATTATTTATAACATTCGAATTTACAAAAACGTCTACAACTCATATGAATCCCAAACTGTACCAAAACCTGCTCAAGCTCAAGGCAATCCACGCGAGTTGGCCTGAACCGATACGATTCAAATTCAAAACAATATTAATCCAAGATGGACTGAACCTGGAGTGAACCCAAACCCAAAAACAACCTAAGTTGAATGCAGTCAAACACCAGACGGCGCTATTCCACCTACAACTCAGTGTTTTATGTAGTGGTGAAGGCTATACATCATTGGCAACATTATTTAGCCTATAAGGAGTTAGTACTTTATTATTCCGATCATCAAGCTCTATGGTCTTTGAATTTTAAGAAGAAACCCAGCAATCGTCATGCTGGATAGAGTGCTTTTCTAGATAAATTCAAGTTTTCATTGAAGTATAAAATTGGGGAGTCCAATATAGTAGCAGATGCTTTGAGTTGACATTTTTTATTGCTAAAAGCATTGAGCACTCAAGTTACTGGTTTTGAAGAATTGGAAAATCCAGTACCAAAGTGATCCATATTTCAGTTGAGTTGTAGAGGAATTGAATGGACCAGCTGGAGTAGAAAAGCTGCCATACAGGTTGCATGAAGGTTTTTATTCAAAGGCAATCAATTATGCATTCCAAAGGGGTCTTTTCAAGAGTAGATCATAAGAGACCTTCGTGGGAGTGGATTAGGATATTTTGGTTGAGATAAAACCATGGCAATGGTGGCTGATTGCTATTATTGGACAAAGATGCTTAAAGACATGGATATATTGGAGAAGAGATGTTCAGCTTGTCTGTTTGGGAAGGGTTTTGTATACAAGTTTGTACATTCCTTTACCAGGGCTCTATAAGTTCATTTGGGTATGGATTTTGTCCTGGGGCTGCCAAGGACTACAAAAGGATATGGCTCCTTTCTTGTTGAAGTTTCATACCATGTTTTAAAACCTCAGATGCTACACATGTTGCTCACTTGTCTTTTAGAGAAATAGTGAGGCTGCAAGGTGTTCCTACATCTATAGTTTTGGACAGATATGTCAAATTCATGGGGCACTCATAAAGGACTTTGTGGACAAAGTTCAAACTACAAAGTTTGAACTGAATTAAAGTACTCTAGCACTTGCCATCCACAAACAGATGGTCAAACTAAAGCAACCAATAGGAGTTTGGGTAAACTTGTTAGGATATCTTGTTGGAAAGCATCTGAAGACTTGGAACTTCTTTATACCACGAGTTGAATTTGCCTACAATAATTCAGTTAACACAACTCTTAAGACGACACCAAGCTGCTTAAGGGCTTAAAGCACAACATGTACTTGATTTAGTGCCATTGCAACAAGAAGCCTGCAATACTGATAATGGAGAGGCTTTTACTGAACATATTCGACAAGTGAATGAGGTTAAGGATGCTTTGAAGGGCAACAATGAAGCTTATCCTACTGTTGCCAACCGACATCAACAGGAGAAAGAGCTTGAAGAAGGTGATTCTGTGCTTGTGCATTTGAGGCAAGAGCACTTTCCAAAGGGAACTTATCACAAACTTAAGTCAAAGAAGTTTTGACCACGTAAGGTGTTGAAGAAAGTGAGCTCAAATGCCTATTTGATTGAGCTGCCCTCTAAGTTACAGATCAGTCCTATACTCAATGTGTCTGATTTATATTCATTTGAGGGATTTGATGGGGAAGTGGCTACCAATTTCTTAACAAGTTCATCAATTTCCTACCTCCCAACAAGATGTTAATGAAGATGTGTTAGATGCTAAGGAAGTAAAGTCTCAAAGAGGGAATCAGTATAGTCGATTTTTAGAGAAGTGGTTGGGTACACCAGCTAGTGAAATTACTTGGATTACTTTAGATGAATTAAAAAGGACTGATCCAGAAATCTATGCTGAAGCTACCAAAATTTTCACTAATGAGGAGGGTCTTTTGTCAACCTGAGGAGATCGATGCAGGAGCCTTCCTAAATTTATCTCAATTGGTTATCTTATTATGTTTTACTTTATATTTGCTGGTTTACTTTAGTTAATGGTGAGTAAATATAATGATGCGGCAAATGGCAGTCATACCCGTTTCACCAATATTAGAATTCAAAAGGGCTGTTAGAGTATGATAACCTACTGCATGGGCATTTTTTCTCTAAATAAATTGAAGATTTAAACTTTGACCAACAAACGAAGTAAATGACTCCAAAATAGTTATTTCATACATTAAGTACAATTCCAATGAATTAATACGTAAACAAATACTATTAATAAGAAATAAAACCAGTGGATGCCAGTTTATGGCTTCCCAGCATAAGATATTGTCATATTCTCAACCTTAGAAGAATGCATGACTTTATGGATGAACCTAAAATATATTGAATGTTACTGAATACTACCCCAAACCAACCATCAAGCATCAGGCTTCAGGCAATATTATAACATCAAAAGGTACAATATTCGGAACATGCTATAATATGGAGCAGTTGAACACCGTAAAGATTGGCAAGCACCACAAAATGCAAGATTCATCAATCAAATGCTTTAAAAAATATATATTTGAGTTATACACAAAATCCCAGTTCCTACTCCAGTTCCAGCTTAGAATTCCAATCACATGCATCTTGTATACAAAGTCAACAAATATACAAGCTTATGTCAGCCTGTGTGAATTGCAAATAATTCTGGTTCATAGCAAACATATGTTATAAGAAATTGCAAAAAATAAAAGCACTCAACTAAAATACTTGCCTCCACTTGGCGGGTTGTGTAGGAAGGTACATTTCCTGCAAGATTCCTTGCTGGTGCTGTAGGTGGGTTCCCCGTAGAAGGCCAAGAAAGCCGCGAAAGGAAGGACGTAACAAACTCAGGGAACTGTAACAAAACAATGAATTACTTCAACAAGACTTAAATTAATCAGCATATTGCAGCATATGAACTGAAAATGATGCTAAAAAATGGATTGAACAACTACATGTTGGAAAAAGTTAAATATTACCATTCTAGCTCAATTCCACAGCAATGCTTTTGCTTGGAAAAATTAAATTCAGAATTACAAAGCTTCAAGAGCATTCTCATCTAGTCACAATAATTTCAATTTGTTCACTTTCAATTTCAGATCTTTAGAATTGCAAAAAATTTAACACGTCTGTTCAAAATTGTTAATAATCAGACAGAAAACAATGTCTTCTCCTATTTCATTCTATTTTAATTATCGTTCTGATTCAACAATCACTTCCTGACTATTTAAAAAAAAAAAACTAAAAACAGATGCATTTTTAGTTCACCCCTTGTTAAACCATTCAGGAGGATTTGATTACATCCATTATGCCAAAACAAGGTTCAAATTAAGTAAATTGAAACTGTTGAGCTTATATAAAAATAAGGTAAACTTTTTTAATTGGTCCATGTACTCAAGGCAAATTTAATGATAGTCTCTATACAACAATTTCAGTATATTATGTCCCTCCAAAGAATTGTTGATCTAACGACAATCACTAACACCATGAAAATGAGAACTGATGCATCATTTTGGACAATGACATGTCAAGCCAAATGATCATACTTTGGCCACCATGGACTCTTAAAAAAAATCAATAATTAAATTTAACCTAAAAAGATTATATAAAGATAAGGTAAAATTTTTCAATCGGTCCCTGTACTCAAGGCAAATGTTGATTTTAGTCTCTATACAAGAATTTCAGCAAATTGAATCCTTGATCTAAGGACAATCACAGACACCATGAAAATGAGAGCTGATGGGTCATTTTGGACAATGACATGTCAAGCCAAATGAACGTACTTTGGCCACCATGGACTCTTAAAGACAAAAAAAATCAATAATTAAATTTAACCTAAAAAGATTATATTTTCTCCATTTTCTTTACTCTTTCTTTTTATCTCTCTCATCTCCATATGCCTCTCCCTTTTCTACTTTACCCACATATCCAGTAAACATCTATGGAATAAACTCTCAAACAACTTCTAACGCCATTACCAAATCAAAGAAAATTAGAGCAACAGAAGCAATAAATGAAACATAATAGAAACCAATTTTAGATTCTACTTAGAATACAATACATCAATACACCAACCATGTACTTGTGGCACCACCTTTGTCACTTTTAGGCATGTATGAGTGCAACAAAAGCATAACAGAAACAAAACATAAAACAAGATCTGCCAATGCTAATTCATTTTGCCAAAAATAACAAAGCTGGATATATATATATAGATATGCCTATATATACACACACACACACACACAAAGCCAGATTGCAGAAGAAGAAATTTAAAAAAACTGCTCTAAAATATAATATAAATCTCAAAACAAATGAAACCAGAAAAATATCCTCATAAATTACTCAAACTAAAATCATGGAATATTATCTTCAAAAAAAATATGGAATATTAGTTTATATGATAGAGAGAAAAATAAAGAAGTAATCAAGAACCTGATTTGGTCTAAGAGGAAGAAAAAGCTGTCAAATGCCTGTGGAGAGTTTATGCAAATAAACACCGGTAATTGCATTACTTTTTGGCTTATCCAGCAACTACTTGCAATTGGATTAGAGAGAGAAAGTGATAGATGAAGAGACAAAAGAACGGGTAGATCTGAAGCTGCGAATTTTGGTGAGAGATTAGACTAAGAGAGTAGCAGTTGCTGTGTGTTGGATTTAGTGCTGGGTGGCCAGATCAGTGACCCAGCCGCCCTAACCAGTGCCTAGCATATCAGTCTAGCGTGGGATGCTAAAGCTATGATTTTTGGGGACAGATCAGAGCAGAAGTGAGAAGAGAGGAAAGGAGTGCAGAGGCAGGAGACAGGGAGAAGGAGGAGATGAGACAGAGAGTAGAAGGGACGATGAAGAGAGTAGCAGCTGTGGGTCTCATTTTGTAGCTGGATGGCCAGATTGGTGACCCAGCCACCCTAACTGGTATCTTGCATAACAGTGTCGTCAAAGAAGAAAAGAAGAATTTGACCTAAATATAACTGTTTTAAGTTCAAGGTTCCACATACTCTTTTCCCCTGCTTTTTATATCTCTCAAACTCAAAGGACCGCCGTTTTGATACCATATAATTATACCAACCCAGATAAAACACTGTGCAAAGCAAGCACACATGCATGCAAATACCTTCACAAACACATAACTTCACTACTCCTTGAGAAGTAGAAAGTTTATGAACATAGCCAAGAAAATCTTATGCCAATGGGTTTTATTATTGCTGATCCCTTGCATGGGACCATTTGTCAATGGGTTTACTGCTGAAAATGTGGCCACCATTACTGCAGTCAAAATCATATTGAAATGTATGGCTTGGATGAAAGTTCTACAAGAATGCATGTCATCCCCATGTCTCCAAAAAAGGAAAGTAAAAGAAGCATAATTTTCTAACTCAAGTATCAGATGGGAAACAACCTTAGCCCTGCGGATGTGAAAGACATTTAGACGATATAATGAACCAGCAAGGATGCCACATATCCCTGGCAAGAAAGATCTTTTCCAAGACGATAGAAGAAGCTGCAAGAAAAAAACTGAAGTTAACCGTTAGGCCTCAAGGTAGAAGGTAAACAATAAGCAGAAAAACTAATTGCTCGCCGTATACCTGAAGACCAGCTAGATATATGAAAGACTTATCAGAGAAGCGAACACCAAATATACGAAACCACGTTGAAACTGGGATGTCAAAATAAAATGGTACAAATGAGGCAAATATGAGGCCATAAGGTCCAGAAGTGAGTAGATTAGCTGTGGGATCTGCAAATATTAAATATCAAGTCAATTCCCATCAACATCACCAATTCAGCACAGAGAACTAGACTAGTTAACCATGCATACAAATGATACCGAAAACCATACATGCTGATGTTTAAAATCTGTCTTCAATAAAAATTTAGAAAAAAAAAAATATTTTATTTGAAGCCAAGATATAAAAGCTAGATCATGAGTTATCGACCGAGAGTTTAACACTACTCAACACCTAGATTATTATGGCTACTTTATATGGTAGCCAATGAGGCAATGGCAAAGAAGTGATTTGATCCCAAAGACCAACTTCTATTCATTGCTTAAGAACCCCTATCCTACCACATGATACTTAGAAGAACCTGTAAGCAGAAGATTTCCTCAGAATTTCCCTACCTACATATATGGAGTCTTTTTCTCTCTTTTTTTTTTTCTTTTTTTTTTGTTTTTTAAGGTCCATTGTCTACTAGCATATTTCTAATTATCCATTTGAAAAAGAATTTTGAATCATCACTGGAAAACTTATTACCAAAAGGAAAAAAAATTAGAGAAACTGAGACAGAAAACATAAGCAGCCTGAAATATTAATGTAACATAAACTTATATTAGAAAGAACATGGCATGGAATGATATGACAGTGCATACCTTTAAGAATAGCTAGAGCCATAACCTCAAAGAAGAATGAAACCATTACTGAGAACAAGATAAAGACCTGCATAATCAGGGCAGACAAAAAATTACATGGAGGAAAGAAAAGAGAGCACATACTTTAGTTTCTGCATGAGTATTAGTTGCCAGTTTAAAAACATAGGAGGATCTAAACATAATTCAAACTGTCAATCTCTTCAATTGATAATATTCACTCTCACATATAGAATATCTGAGTGCTATCATCGAGATCTATAGATGCAGCTCGCTCTATTAATTTCATACAAAATTCAATGATCTTATAGAATAACTCCTCTGGATGGGTTGCCATAGGTTAAGTGGCTGACTAAGTTTTGCAACATTGGACAATTCATGTTGTCTTTGTCAACCTAAATTTGGGTTTGGATTTCAAATTTCTGAATTTAGAAATCCTTTGTATATAAATAAATCAAGGATATGAAATCCTACATTTTCATCAAAGTCCAATTCACTGTTTGAATAACTTTAGAGTTTGATTTGAATTCAAATTAATATTTTTATTTCATTATACAAAGAATTAATTGACATGGCAATACAATCAAACTATACCAATAGGATCTCTATCTCTCTTTCCCCTATTGCTTCCATCTCTTTTTCTTTGATTTATCACCACTTTATGGAACTGAAACTCTCTCTCTCCAACAGTCCAGTTTCTCACTCCAAAACACACAAAGCTACACACACAGAGAGAGAGAGAGAGAGAGAGTGAGAGAGAGTTAATTCTCTTTAGACAAAAGGAGTTAAGGAGAGCGTAGGGAGAGATGAGATCAAGAAGATAATGATTAATTGAAACATAGAAAGATCAAAGACAGTGGGATGGATTTGTTTAAATACTAGTCCCAGAATAAATTGTAAATCCTAAAATTTGGGCTTTTAAAATCCTTAGCAGATTTGGTTCAAATTCAAATCATTGTTGTTTAGAGGGCAAACAAAGAATTTGGAATTTAAAATTCATATCGCATTTCAAACAGTAAATAAACCATATGGCATGTGATTAAAGAAGATGATGACATGAAGAAGAAATAATTTTTGAGGACTCTTCACAAATTCCATAAGCAATTTCAGTTTCCTCTTACATCACAAATTTATGAATCAAGTAAATTAATCTTTCATATGGTAATTTCTCCATCAAAAGATATTTGTATAAACCCCAGTTACTTATTCATCTTTTAAAAAGAAAAATCATTTGATTCATAAATTTCAGATATATGTATACCCAGTTTTCTTTTACATCCCAAACTCGTCATAAAACTTGCAGGTTTACACTTAAAGAATAGAAGAATCATATTGTTGATTACTTCCCTCTTTAACAGTGAAGAACAGTACTCCCATCTCATGGAATATTTTAGCAGTTAAAACGAAAACAGATTAATATCATGACCAACAACAGGAAAATAAAGATCAACCAATTAACAGTCCTTCAGTGCAATCTGAATAGGTGAAATCAAGGCAAAGGTTTCAAGAAATAAATGTCCACCTAAAGACGAGAATAACTAATAGTAGAACATGGACAATAAGTGCAGTGGAGAAATTACTGTGGGTGATATCACTACTTGCTGCAACAATAGTTAATGAGGGAGAGGTGCCAGTGGTAGCGGCAGGTGATTGAAGGTGGTTGTCTCTACTTAACACCGATTTAAAGGGAAATGTTGGCCACAACTTTTCTTCCCTCTTGGGAAATTTTATCTTATTTTCATGAAGAATAAAGAAACTGAGCCTTAACAGTTTTCACTTTCTCTGCACAGGTGGTGTACAAACCAATTTTCACCAAAACCAATACAGCACTGTGCTATGATGCAGCAGCTGTACTTGCCCAGCTTGGACATTTCCACCTAAAAATCCTATTCCAGCCAATATGCGAACTTGCCTACTTTTCCAGATCTTGGAAGAGAGGGAAATAAAAAAAAATTTTAAAAACCACCAAATCAAAATCAAGTCAGTAGCAAATAAGGAGTTGTTGCAACCTCCTGCAGTTTTTTAAGCTTCTTCTCATGGCTATTACTGGGAAATCAGAAGATAAGATGGTGGGGTAGGTTGGCACATGAGAGTAGGTATGTCGATGTGAGCAAGAAAGACAAAAAATATGACAGACTGGGAGATGGTGAATGTTAGTAAAAGAAATGACATCAGAAGAAGATCCCTCATGTCATGTGGATATTTTATTTATACCAAGGCTGATATTGGGTTTAATGTCATGTCAAAATAAACTGGAACAAAGTAAACCTAAATTTCAATTGCACAATGCAAGCACAAAGATTTGTAGCCAATTTGATTCAATAAAAGAAGCCCCCATGAATTTTAAAGAACTAAATTATGCCAAAAGTATTAAAAATGACTAAATTTCCGTAAATTCTGCTACAATTACCACTATCTCAAGACGGTGAATCAAAATGCAATGGTATGTAGGAAATACCATTCCCAGAAGAAACAGAAATGTTAATTTGTATGATACCGACAACTTGGTCAAATCATCAAGCAAGTAGGATTTCAAAACTTGAAGAAATTTATGTTTCACTTCCAATCATGCCACATTTTGCTAAAGAGTTATGTTTAGAAATTTTCTTTTCATTTCATTGTTAATTCTTATATTTTTTAGTATCCTATTACATTTCAATTTCACCTTTTTCTTAACACAACAAATAACAGCATTCTTTCAGGTGTTTCTATTCTTTTTGCATGGCAGAGCCTCTATTAATAAGGCCTTAAGAATATCAGTAAAGTTTAGTTACCTCAATGTACTTCATCAGAAACATACATTCTGTAATAATAGTTTAACTATCTGCATGTTGGGTGTAACATTTAAGACAACACAACAGAATGGACTAGCATAAACAGCATGATCACTCACTGAGTACTTGTTGGAACCAATCTGTCTCTCAAACACCCTGAAGTAGTACAGTAGATAAAGTCCAAACATCAGTTCTGGTGTGGATGAAAAGGCAAAAACTGTTGCAATTAACTTCCATATGCTAAGTTTTCTGAAAATATCCTGTGATAAAATTGAAACGATCCAATAAGAGTTATACACAATAAATTGAAGAGCACATGGCATCTTTTACTCCCCAAAAGTAAAATAAATAAATGCAAGATCACTAAACTGATTAGTCATTTACAACCTAGAAGTACAAACAATATTTTATTATCACTTAATTTTTATATCTTTTGCTGCTTGACAGTTGAGTTCAGGCCAAATCTCCTCACAATTACTCCCCTCCCCCTCCCCCCCTTTTTCCCATTTCTGAGAAAATGACCACTGCTTTACCATCTGACTTTATTCTCTTACAACAATCCATAAAATTACTTTCCACAAGACAAACTAAGCTTTTGACAACAGGAAGCATACTTCCTGAATTTGTTTTATTCAGCATATAAGCACTTAAACTGTGAAGAGGGACATAAAAGAAGGAATACCCCCTTCGGTTTCACTTATCTAAAATAAAATGTGCCAATGTCTGTACACTCAACAAATAACAAATTGACAGCATTCACAATACTTGTTTAAATGTCTCAAAACAACAAAAAGTTGCATCAACAACTTTGACATCAATTCTTAATCCTAAGGAGGCACACAAGGATGATTTACAGTAGTAAAATAATATTATCATGTATAGATTGACACATTCAGAGAAGATCAAACATGCCCTATTAATTGCTTCCGGCTAAGTAGTTGGGCCACCTTGACCTTAAAAAGAAAGTAGAATATAAGCCTGTTTTCCACTTGCCCTCACTACAAAAAAACATAAGCCGTTAATATATCATAATTTTCTTCCAATTCTTCAATTATTTTATTTGTATGCATGCCAAATAAGCTTCAAAGGACATGGTCTTAAATATAATATGAAGCAATATGATCCGTATAGCCAATCCTGTCTAGTGGGGAAAGATGTAAAGTCTGAGTTGACAATATGTCGATATACTATTCCTCTTCTAGTTCATAGAATGTCAGCACATGATACTGACCTCTACTGGATATCTCAATTCACAAACATCAACCACATCAATGACATAAAATTACTTGATTTTGAGCCAACTTATGAGGGCAACATAAGAAGAGGAACAAATCATTCATAATTCAATATAATCCATACCCTTGTTTTCTTGTAAGGTGAATTTCATGTATCTTGGAATTTTGCATTACAACAATATCTCAACAACCTAATATCTTCACCGTAAGATTAGTAGAAACTAATTATAAATCTATGAAACATCTAAGAATGTGCAGCAACCAGTCAATTTAGAAATCATTTTCATGTTAACCACGTCACAGCAATGCCATCCATTGAACGAGTGATGACAAAAACAAAATGAAACAAAAAAGGCAGGATCTGAGATTAATCAGCATGACTATTATAAAAAAAAAAACACGAAACAGATTTGTAATTCAATATTTAGAAAAGCAACGGCCAGTCCTTGTAAATTAAAAGAAACAGAAACACAAGACCTTATACTGCAATTTAAATGGTAAATCAAAAATGCAACGTAGAAAACCCGACAATATCAATTCAGAAAACAAAACAATAACAAAAATGCTACAACGTGAATTCACATTGAAAAGTAAACTTAAAGACGTAATAAAAGTCATACCATCTGTGGATCCTATATAAAACATTTGAATTAATAAAAGAAGGAAAACCTAGAAACAAAAAATCGACCCAGATTCAAAGCTACAACTCTTAAACGTAAAAGGCAAAACAAGGATTACCTGATAGGACAAACCAAGCTTGAAAGAACGGCCTTGGATCCCAAAGAATACGGTGAAAAGAGCACAAGCAATTAGAAAGATTCTAGTCACTGGTGCATTATCTGCAACCACAAACCAAAAAAATAATAACAAAAATAATCATGATCATCATATCTTCAAGGAAAATGAAAACGTCATGGTAAAAGCCTAAGAAAATAAGAAGAAGAAGGACTTGTACGCACTGAAACCGGAGGGGCCGCCGTTCATCTTTCAAAACTTGGTAGGAAGGAGGAAGCAACCACCTCTGCTTTCGAGTTTCACCTCCTTATATAAAAATTTCTATGAGCTTATAATTTGGAATTTTTCCCCTTTTTGTCTTTGGTTTGGGACGGAATTACAGATGGTAGAGTCGAGTCGTCTCCCTCTCTCCCTCTCACCAAAAACGAAAAAGGAGTCCTCTCTTCGTCTATTCCTTTTCTAGCTTCCCCTTTCTGCTCTTTAAATTTTTATGACGGTAATGATCATTTTTTGATTCAATATTTATTAAAAAATTTTAATTTAAGATTCAACCTTTTATTTATATCAAATTAAAATGTAAGTGCCCTTTTTCACTGAAACAAAATTAATTAAAAATAATAATGATTATCCTTAATGAAACTTATTTATACTACAATCGTAAAACTATTAACATAATTACTAATTGTTTTTTCATCGATTTTCTGTATTGAGAAAATTACAGAAATACAAGATCGACTTTTAAAAGTAAAAATTTGATTAATTTTAGATCCTAAAATATGCCTTCTTTTATTCGTCGTGGCTCTCTTTGTTGATTAATTTAGCAACATTTCTTCCTTGTTTTGTTTCTCATTTGAACTTTTAATTAAGGGAGTCCAATTAAATTTTTTAAAGAAAAATATTTATATTTTGCTTTTGTAAAAGTTTTTATTCATTAAACTAAAACAAAATATCTCACCACAAGAGTTACTTTTTATTTTTATTTTATACTCAATAGTTAAATAAATCTTTGAATTATGTCAGAAAAAAAGTTAATTAAAGCTCTATCTTTTTATTTCAATCAATTAAGTTTCTAAATTTTCATTTTGAATTAAACAAATTTTTTTCATTATCGTTGATTTTCATTATTTAACGATACACATGACACTTTTATATCACATGGTAAGCTAACATATTATTCTGATAACATCACTACCATGTGGTTTGTTGATTTGTTATTTTGATAATGTCACTGTTACGTGATATTAAATGTTGTTGATTAAGATTTGTGTGTTTATTTTTTTATCCAGACCCGTATCAAAAAATGACTGATTTAAGAATTTAAAACAAAAAATAAAAAAAAAACTTAATTACTTTTTTTCCACAATGTGATAAAAGATAGACATTTTATGTTTAACAAAATAAATCATTTTAAAGTCAAACTTACGAAATCATGTTAAACCAAAAAAAAAGAAAACCTTTGCTTGATTGGGTATTTTTATTGGCCTAAATATGAGTAAAAAGTTAGATTTTTTAGTAAAATTAGTGAGATTTCTTTGATGGATAGCTTTCAGTTTAATTAATTCAAGGGTTAAAGAGAATTTTACTGTTTTTAAACTGAGCTGATTAATAATTGATGGTTTAAGTCCTGCTCTATTCATTTTGAGAGCTGAATATCGTAAATAGGAATGGTTGGGGAAATTTTGCATTTCTTTATATTGAAAGTACTGTGAACGAATCCAAAGTATGCGAGCTTGAAATGCTAGAACAAAACAAAGACCCTTAGGCTGATGTTCATGGATGTTATGCACTGTACAATCTGTAAACAAGAAAGGGTGTCTTATGGACTTGCAGTGTCTTTCTCTATTCAATATGCCCTTCTCTTGACAATGATAAAATCAATGTTGACTTTGATTTATGGATGTTTTACTTCCTATTTTTTACTTTAGTGTGTTTGTGAGGGGTGTGCTTAGCTATTTTAGTCTCTTAATTACTTATTCAAAGAATCACTAGCCCAAATTGTCTCCTTGGGATTTTAGTTTATGAGTATAGAGATTGATTTATAAAAGGAAGATTGAAGAATATACCTCTTTGAAGCCCCAGTATGACCTCATGAAATAGGTTCAAGCCAAAACTAGTTATCGAGGTTATAAGTGAAGTCTTAGCAATATAATATAAGCTGTTTTCTTCTATTGAGCCAGACCATACTCCATACTTCACTGGAAATAAATTAAAGCAAAATCTAGCAATAAATTCACCCTTGAAGGGGGTTTGCTAATGTTCGGCTGAACCTTAACTGACTTATATATTTCCTTCAAATTTATTAATGGTTCTAAAATGCTCAAATCTTTAATAGGACATAATGTCATCTTGTGGAAATTCTGTTTCTTGTCCTAAATATTGGGTATTCTTATCGAGATCAGCCTCCCACTACCATTTGAATTTTGTGGCAGCTTATAGTCAAGTTATTGTTGTCCTGCAGGAATGTGTTAACACTGATTTGTGAAAGAAAGCATAGTCATTAAACATTAAAATGTAAAGTTTGGTGAAATTAGAATTAAATTGAAACAAAGGGTCACCCACATGCTCTTACTCTTTGCAGAAACTATTAATACTATTTTGAGCACTTAATTATTGTGTTAAGAATTGAGATCATTACCCGTGGCATATTGTTCATCAAGGTAACAACTCTTGAGGAATATCTCAGGATTAATCTATGATGACTGCCATATTTAATCTTTAAATCTTATGTTTTATAAAATTATGTTTCCATGTTCATGTGATCTTTCTTAACCCTTCGGCTGCTAACAGGTCATGTCTTCTTCAATTTGAGATAATTTTATAGTAATTTGTAGAACAAGGAGTTGTGGTTGAGCACCAAAATTGCACTAAATCATAGGCCTATAAGCAAACCTATTTCCAAGAGTTCAAATCATCGGACCATAAACTTGATTAGTTTCTTATTATTGTAGGGTGAATTTCATCCAATTCATACATATCATTTCGAAAAGGAAATCATTTACCATCCATAAAAAGGCACAATTTTGTATTAAAAAAAAAAACAACAAATTATTGTTCTGCACTTAAAAGTGTGTTTTGACTGCCTTGAGTTCCAATGCATGAAGTTTCACGTCTTTTTGCTCAGCTTGGTCATGATGACATCTCTTTGCTCTTGAAGTTCTTTAGATGACATGGCTTTATTTCCTTTCCACCTCAATCTACGGCCTCTGTGAACATGACCATATGTGGATGGATCAATTACTCCAATTTTCTGCTTTGTTGACTATGTCTTCTAGGTTGTACAACATATATATATATATATATATATTCAATGTTATGTAAATAAAATACTTACAAAAATGAATGATTGTAGCATTTACTTACATTCCACACTTGTTCATCAATGCATGGATTGGTATAAATACCAATCCCCTTAAAACATTTTCCTCTTTTCTCTAGTATGTGGTTTCTTTGTAATAATATCTTAATTGGCACATTTTCTTTCCATTTTCTTGATGGGCTACCATCACCACCCAAATCCGAGAGCCATGACCGATGCAAGGGTATCGACGAGAGTGACCCTTGTAACTCATGCAAGCCTCAAAGCAAATAAACCAATTACCCAAATTTACATCATGGGACTCATCACCATGGAATTGTGTACAAAACATATACAATTATATTTATCAAATATTTGAATATATCAATTTGCACAACCATTGCTCAAAGTGTAGAAGCAAATCATTTCAAAGTTCAAAGTATAAGCGATCTTGTGGCAAATTAAAAGTATAAGCCATCCCATAGCGAATTCAAATATAACATTTATTGCAAGATATAAATATAGTTATAACCCATGATAGTCAAAACATAAAAGACTAAATTGGCAGAGTACAACCTAAAGCAAAAGGGATGACGCGTACTAGATGCCATAACAATTACCTACTTAAATTGACTGTAGAAGTAGGTTCATCAAAAAGACAGCGAGCCAAACAATCTACTAATCTAAAATAACAAATGCATCTTACCTGTGTGAGTTATAAATAACTCCGTGAGCAGATATGAAGAGAGGGAACAAGCTAAACAGAAAAATGTTTATCAAATACACTTTCAAATAAATGCAAGTATTTATTCCCAAATAGTTCAAAGTTCGTTTTAACAAGCATACTCAAATATCAAAAGAGTTTCAAAATTCACTTCCCAAGCGTAATCAAATATTCAACGATTCCAAAGGTTGCTTCCCAAGTGAAATAAAAAATCCAAAGATTTTCAAATAAAAACAAGAGTTTGACAATAACTTGTAAACCTTTGAAACGAAATTTGTTACTTATAAATTGATCCAAGTAATTCGAATAAAAATTAGTGTTAAAAATCAATTTAGAAATATTCGAAGTCGAAAACAAAATATTCAAAGTTTAGTTTTGAATCATATTTATTTGTATTTTTAAAAGTCCTTTGAAAACTATTTAGGTTTCAAAATAGGTTAGACCTATTGGTACATTGCTGAATTGTATCAATAGAGTGTCTAATCTATCGATATTGTTAGTCTTGAGTTACGTCATATTTTGATTTGACAAAAATTGCATGATATCTGGGTTTAATGTCAAGCATTTGAAATTGTCTCAATCATATTTTTCATCCCCTAAAGTCACAAAATTATTTGAAAAGCCATGCATCATTAGAAAATATCATAAAAGCTTTCAAACAATAAATATTCAACTAAGTAAATAAAGAACATACATGCCTTGAATTTTTATTTGATTATAGGAATAAGTTAAGAAAGAAATAACTGAAGAAAGGCGTCAAAAAGTCAAGGAATCCTTAATACATAGGTCAAGAGTCGACTCTAGATAAGCTTAAGTCAATTTAAAGGCAGAAATAGTGGAAAAATTGAAGAATACAAAGTCATAGTTGACCTTGGAGCAAAAAGCTCAAAAAATTGAAAAATCACATAGATATAGTTGATCTTAGATCTTTTATAGTTGACTCTTGTAAGTCTAATGCGTGAAAAAGAGGGAAAATGAAAGACATAGTCGACCCTAGCTTCATTATAGTCGACTACCTTAGCCCAGATTTGCAAAAAAACATGTTTACCATAGTTGACTACATTAGCCCAAATTTGCAAAAAACATGTTTGTCGATCGGATTATACATGCAAGTGCACGTGGCCGTATGAGTAATATAAATTAAGTCAAGTATCGTTTTCCATAGATATTCGTACCTATTTTTACTGAGTACTAAACTTCTAACAAAATAATCTCTTCCAAGCTCTCGATTTCAAAGGAACAATTAAATTAAACATAATTGACTATTTAAATAATTAACGAAGCACAAAATGTCACTAAAAGAAATATTTACTCAAACCTAAGATTATGGTGTTTTTCAAGACTTCATCTGAATCAAATCATTTTCCTTAACTTAGCTTAATAGAGTACATGGCTAAACCTAGAATCCAAATTATATACACGTCATTTATCGAGATCATGCATACATCTCTTTTCTAAATTAATGC